ATTACTTTATTTTTCTATTTTTTTCTATATGATATTTTCTCTATATGCATGTTCTGTTCAGAATAACAAAAATAAGCTAGATATGATTGAAACCAGAAATCTCTGACTATGGGTTGTTCATCTCAACCACTATTTCAGAATATGCAATACATACAGTAAGAAAAATGAGACCTATCGTGATGCAGCATGCAAACTTTGTACATCCGAGTGCTCGCCCTGAATAAGACTTTCAAATATTAGCAACAATTTATACCTGGAGCATAGTAAATTTGTTTACTGGATGCATAAATGTATATTTAATTATATCTAAGCCTGAAAAACTGTACATAAACTTATACCAAGGCTAATGTATATGTATTAGTTTTATTTTGTGGGACAAAACATCAGAGAATAAAATCAGTGTGATATATTCTTTCTTTAGGAATATTTGAATTTGAACATCATGACTGAAGGCTGTCTTAATTCTTTTACAAAAAAATTTATGCTTAATATTTATATGTTTGTTTCAATATTGGCAAATCTGCCTTCATATATTTTCTCCTGTGGCCTAACTGGGGGGAGGGGGGAGAAAGAAAGAAATGCTGCCTTCAGTTAGCACTGAAATCAATAGAGCCTTTATACTGATTTACTAGATGAGGATCTGGATCACTGTGCTGCCAAATGGTTTGTTTCTCTCACTCCCTTTCTCTTATTTAACAGGAGGTGACATTGCCCTTTCATCCATCTCCTGTGAGAAATTACAGGCATTACCCTCTGTGTATGCTTTTTGCAGTCATGCAAGTCAATTTAAGTTTCTTCTCATCAACGGGTAGGTTACCTACAGCTGGTTGCAGCTCCAGCCTGCCATTTATTCCTATTTGTTCTCTAGAACAAATTCTCATTTGTTCTCCAGAAATCCACTTAAGTTTATATAATTAGCTCTTTTGAAAGCATTTCCTAGAAACGTTGAGAATCACTTGCATTTAGGACTCAATTTAAGACTATGACACTCAAAGTCTCAAACCAAAGTGCCATAAGTTATCTGCTTACTAATCTGAAATTCTGTCTCAAAGTTATGGCTGTAGAGAATGTATACTGTGTTTTGTTGCAGGTACCTATGTGTTTTTTGTCCTATAGTATATTTCTTCACCATTCTTGTATCAATCATCATAAGTCGATGATTATCAAATAGCTGTGGGCTAACAAGATAGATTGTGGCTACACTTCAGTTTCCCAATTCCCTTTTAGGCACCAGGAAGGTTTTGGTAATGCAATATTACTGGGAGGGTTGGGAGTTTACTTTTTTAGCCCTTTTTTATTTGGAAGGTTTATGACTTGCAAGGGGAAAAAGATGCCTCTGAGCAAGTTGAGGGATTTCAGACTAATTGGGTTGTTTGGTGAAATATTAAAGCAGCTTGCCTCTCAAGGGTCTTCTATTCACATTCTCTGGCTCTCTCTCCCATTCCCTCCCTCCACATGCACACGTTCTAAAATTTTCAGCTACCCATGAATATCTTGAACATTGATAGAATGAAGACTCAACTTTCCTGAAGAAAAGTGAGCAGCCTTAATATTCAGGCCAGGTTCTTCAACAGTGGAAGTATTTGAATGAAGCCCAAACGGTGAACCACACTATAGGGTTACTATACTTCTATACTCATAGAATTTGTCCATAACTGATTATCAGCCAACTACTAGTGCAGTTTCAAGGTACATTTAGAAGGCATCAAGAATGCTATTCATTTGATTAGACATATCCAAGTGTTTCTATTTAGAAGCCACTCTTCACAAATTTCCCAGTTCTGATTTCACGGTAAATGAAAACATTATTTTATTCATTGCTCATACCATGATGAGAAGTAGTAGTACTTCCGAAGATGTTACTGATATTAAGGAGATTCTATTTGCATTGCTTGTCCTGAATGAATCATTGACTACTACACTGATGATTGTCTCCATGTTTTTCTTAAAGTGTTTAAGCATACTTCTTGTAATAAGGGTTGGAGTGTTCTTTCTTTCAGTCATTCATTCTTTTCTTCTTTCCTTCCTTCCATACATTTTACTCTTCATTTTACTCTTTGTTTCTACTTCTCTTTCAGTTTTGTAATAGTTTTTACTATTGCAATTATAATCATTAATAAAATTGTTTTTTTAAAGAAGCAAAGTATGAGATAAACTTCTGGTGATGTATTTATTTTGATTAGAAACTACCACAGAATTCATTTCTTTATGCAGTTTATATGCTGCTCAGTGCAAAAAAACACAAACAAAAAAACCTCTGAATAGCTTAACAGTAATGCAACAAAAGTAAAATAGAGAGAATTAGAAGAAAACTCAAATTCCTCCCCCAATCCATTTCTTTCCCATCGGAAACAGTATTTACAAAAATAGTTGCATATTTCATAGAGCAGATTCACCATATCATCAATTCCCCCAGGCTTTTCAGAATATACAGGACTTGGTAGCCTTCCAGAATGTCAACAAGGTTGGTGTTGCTCTGATCTTGGATGGGCATTATTCCAAAGAAGAGAGACAATGACATAAAAATATATGCTCATGGTAGTTGATAACAGCAGGCCCTCAGGGCTAGGACTCAAAAGATGCCCCCCTTACTAGATCATATTGGACAGGTAGAACCACTGAGTCCAGTATAAATCTGTAGAAATTGCAATGAATCAAGGTAACCTCTCTGCTATCTTGTCTCTTACATTGTGTTTAGTTCTATATCAGTATAATTCTGCACAACTGTTCAAATACTTCCCTCTCAGTTTGTTGCTACTCTAAATCATTGTTTCTTAAAGCCTGAAGTTACAATGCTTACCCTCAATTTAAGATTATTGCAGTACTGATGTATATCATTTATATAAATAACATTCCCATTGTAACACTTGCAAAGAAAAACTTCAAAATATTGTTTCAACCTGTGCCTGAGGCTAACAAGCCCAAACAGCATTAGAAATAGAATTTTATTAAACTTTAACTTCTACAGTTTACAGTTCTAAGGAAAAACTGAAAAATTGTGTTGATTGAAGGGCACGGCCACATTTTAATTTCACACGATTACCTCATAACTATTCTAATACCCTTATTTCATGTATGTGTAGTTCCTAATCAACTATTGGAGAAAGAATTGTTTATTTGCTTGATTTTTTTTCTGAAGACTAATATTCCAGTTTAATAATATCACTTTGTATAAAATACAGATTTACGCAGTTTCACTTTATAAGTAATATTTAAAATTAATATTTCCCCTATAGTATATTTTTTCCTTGTAAAGAGTCAGTTTGGTGTAGTGATTAAGTATTAGCCTAGAAACTGGGAGACCATGAGTTCTAATCTTGATTTAGATGCAAAGTCAGCTGGGTGACTTTGGGCCAGTCACATTCTGACTTAGGAAGAGGAGAATGGCAAACCACTTCTGAAAAAGCTTTCCAAGAAAACTGCAAGGACTTGTCCAGGCAGTCTCCAAGAATCAGACATGATTGAACAGAAGAAAAAACCACTACAGTTGTTCTAATGGCAGAAAGTAAAGAGGAACTAAAGAGCCTTTTGATGCAGATGAAGAAGGAGAGTGTAAAAGTTGGCTTGAAGCTCAACATTAAGAAAACTAAGATCATGGCATCCGGCCCTCTCAATTCCTGGCAAATAGATGGGGAAGAAATGGAGGTAGTGACAGATTTTATTTTCCTGGGCTCCAAGATCACTGCAGATGGGGACTGCAGCCAAGAAATTTTACGCTTGCTCCTGGGGAGGAAAGCTATGGCAAATCTAGACAGCACTAAAAAGCAGAGACATCACCCTGCCAATAAAAGTGCATATAGTCAAGGCTACGGTTTTCCCAGTTGCAATGTATGGCTGTGAAAGTTGGACCATAAGGAAGGCTGAGCGCCAAAGAATGGAGGCCTTTGAACTATGATGCTGGAGAAGACTCCTGCAAGTCCTTTGGATTGCAAGGTGATCAAACCGGTCAGTCCTGGAGGAGATCGACCCTGACTGCTCTTTAGAAGGCCAGATCCTGAAGTTGAAACTCAAATACTTTGGCCACCTAATGAGAAGGAAGGACTCACTGGAGAAGAGCCTAATGCTGGGAAAGATTGAGGGCAATAGAAGAAGGGGACGACAGAGAATGAGGTGGCTGGATGAAGTCACTGAAGCCGTAGGCCTCCGGAGGATGGTAGAGGACAGGAAGGCCTGGAGGAACGTTGTCCATGGGGTCACAATGGATCAGACACGACTTCGCAACTAACAACAAACAACACAGTTGTTCTATGTTTAAAAATGAAATTATTTGCATGAAAATTTTCTAGTTAATACCAATGCTATATTACAATACTAATACCCTTAATGCAAAAGAGAAAGAAAGAGACCAATATCAGTAATTTATTTGCAGCAAGAAATAAAAAAATTGACCAAAGAATGAAGTAATATGTGATAGGATTAACGTATGAGTTGTAGGATAAAGTCTGAAGGTCGCAGTGGGTGGAGCAATGATATACAGTTATATACATCTATTTTAATTCCCCTCTCCTCCCAGGTATGAAAAGGTATTCTGAGAGATTTTCTTCATTTTTAAAAATTACATAAAGCATAATTGTATTTACAATTCGGTAGCCCTCAACTTATGATGACAACTGGGATGACAACTTCCATCACTGAATGATGTGGCCATTAAGTGAGACATCACGTGATGACCCTCAATTTTACTAACTTTTTTTATCATGGTCATTAAGCAAATCATCACATTGTTAAGCAAATTACACAGCATTAAGCAAATCTGGTTTCTCATAGACTTTGCTTGACAGAAATTGACTGTGAAGGTCACAAATGGTGAACACATGAACCTGGGATGCTGCAACCATCATATATATATATATATGTCAGTTGCTAGGAGCCTGAATTGCAAAAATGTAACCACAGGATGCTACTAATCCTAATTGTGGAGACTAGTGTTAAGTAACTTTTTTTAGCACCATCATAACTTTGAATGGTGGCTAAATGAATGGCTGTTACTTGAGGATTACCTTGTCATGTAGGTACCTCCCAGAGGCTGATAGGAAACATATTGCCGGTTTTCAACAATAGTGATTGGAAGGAGTTCTGACACTGCAAAACACAAACAGTAGTTTTTCACTTTTGATATATCGAGTAATAATATGAAGATAGCAATAGCAATAGCACTTAGACTTGTATACCACTTCATAGTGCTTTACAGCTCTCTCTAAATGGTTGACAGGGTCAGCATATTGTCCCTAACCATTTGGGTCCTCATTTTACCCACCTCAGAAGGATGGAAGGCTGAGTTAACCTTGAGCCTGGTGAGATTCGATCTGGCAACTTATAGGCAGCTGGCTGTCAGCAGAAGTAGCCTGCAATATTGCACTCTAACCACTGTGCTACCGAGGCTCTATAAGATCCTTTATAAAGCCACTTATAAGATGCTGGCAGTTCTTTCTCAGGGACGTTCCTCCATTTTCCCCACACTTGTCTCTACAATACTGGCTCAATTAAAATAGTCCAATGTTCCCCCATTTAGTCATTCAGTCCCTATCTTTAAACAAGAAAGCATATTATTAAGTTTCTCATGAAAGCTTCAAAGAGAGGAGGGGTTTCAGAATCTTCTTTAAAAAAAATCACTGTCGCTTTGTTGGGTGGCTGATGGGCAGAGATGAACAAACAAGCAAAGGGAATGGAGAATGATATGAAGCAGGGGTGTCCAACCTTGGCAACTTTAAGCCTGGAGGACTTCAACTCCCAGG